AGTTGGGTCCTCGAGGGATAAGATGTGCCTTTGTAGGATATGCACAAAATAGCAAAGCATATAGACTTTTAAATTTAGAGTCTAATGTTATTGTTGAATCCCGGGATGTAGAATTCTTTGAAAAACTTAACACTAAGGATAAAGAATCAGAGTCGGCCATAAATAAAGAATTTTGTGAAAAGGACTCTTCTCGGATTGTAGAAATACAACCTGAAGGCACATCTCGAATCATTGAACCACAACCCGAACCTAGGATAAGCAAAAGAGTCCGGAAAATAAAGAACCTAGGACCAGACGAAATTGATTCTGAATCCATTTCATTTTATCTGGTTGAAGGAAATAGTACAAATTTTATTAAAAGCATTCCGGTAATTCTGAAAGTAGGGGAAGATCCTAAAACTTATAAGGAAGCAATAACTTCAAGAGACTCCTCCTTTTGGAAAGATGTTATCCGAGATGAAATGGATTCAATTATGTCCAACCATACTTGGGAACTTGTTGATTTACCAAAGGGATCAAGACCCATTGGATGCAAGTGGGTGTTTAAAAAGAAATATCATAGTGATGGTACATTAAACACTTATAAAGAAAGATTAGTGGCAAAAGGATTTAGACAAAAGGAAGGTATAGATTATTTTGACACTTATGCACCTGTAGCAAGAACAACCACTATAAGGTTGTTATTTGCTTTAGCATCTTTGAATGATCTGATTGTTCATCAAATGGATGTTAAAACAACATTCCTAAACGGAGACCTCGATGAGGAAATCTACATGGAACAACCAGAAGGATACGTCTTTCCTGGAAATGAACAAAGGGTGTGCAAACTCGTCAAATCTCTATATGGCTTAAAACAAACACCAAAACAATGGCATCAAAAGTTTGATTCTACGATAATGTCAAATGGATTTATTCCTAATTCTTGTGACAAGTGTTTATATACAAAAGTGTATAATAACACTGTAATATTTTTGTGTCTTTATGTTGATGACATGCTAATAATTAGCAATAAACTTAATGGAATTTTAGAAACAAAAAGGTTTTTAACTTCCACATTCAAGATGAAAGATCTTGGACTTATTGACACAATTTTAGGAATAAAAGTTAAGCAAAATAGTGGGGGTTATGAACTTAATCAAACACATTATATTGAGAAAATGCTTGATAAGTTCAAACACCTGAAATTCAAGGAAGTAACTACTCCATTTGATCATGTAATCAAACTTGAAAAGAATGATGGAAGAGCAGTGGCTCAATTAGAATATGCAAGTGCGATTGGATGTCTTATGTACTTAATGCAATGTACTAGACCCGATATATCGTTTGCAGTTAGTAAAATGAGTAGATTTACTAGTAATCCAAGTAATGAACATTGGAAGGCAATCACGAGGATATTTGGTTATTTGTTGAAAACCAAAGATCTTGGCCTTCATTATGGTAGGTTTCCTGCTATATTAGAAGGATATACCGATGCAAGTTGGATCTCTAATGTGGGAGATCATAAATCTACAAATGGGTGGATATTTACACTAGCTGGAGGAGCAATTTATCGGAAGAGCAAGAAACAAACATGCATTACTCTTTCGACCATGGAATCAGAGTTCGTGGCTCTCGCTTCCGCTAGTCAAGAGGCAGAGTGGTTGAAGGATCTTCTTTTGGAAGTTCCATTGGCTAAAGACAATGTTTCAAAAGTAATGATACACTGCGATAGTCAGGCCACTTTGGCAAGAGCATTTAGCGAAGTGTATAATGGAAAGTATAGGCATATAGGACTTAGACATTCGTTCGTGAGAAAACTGATTAAGGATGGAATCATTTTACTTACGTATATACGAACAAGCTATAATTTGGTTGATCCGTTTACTAAGCCACTGGCCAGAGACTTAGTAAAAACAACCTCGAGAGGTATGGGGTTGAAACTCCTTGAGTAAGAGTTCCGACAACGGCGGCAACCCAATCTTAAGTTAACAGAACATTAACTTTAAGATTTTCAATGGGTAATAACAAGTCGTTGATTTGGATAATTGTCTAACATTTCGTAATTATGTTGACATTGGAAATGAGGGTTGAGTTTTATTTTAAACTCTTAATGAAGTTCAATACCGAGGGTACGTATCCATTGGAAACAGATACTATATGAACTTCACCTATGTGAATTCTGAGATGGTGCCGTCTCAAAGTGAGAGTTGGAGTTTCTCTCATAAAAAAATTCATGAAACAGGATAGCACATGGCCATAAATAAGTGCTAAGCGAGTTATGCAGAGGAAGAATCTTTAAGGAGTGTGTGTAAGGTAACACCGGTCTATTCATATGGATTCATGGTTTAAAAGCATTGCTACCTAATGTTCCGATTAAACCTTGTGTTATCCTTACTAAGGTTAAGTTTAAAATCGAAAGATACTTAACTGTATTAATACTTCTTATGTCTCATTTCTGGAATTACTATTTTGTCATTATTAGAACAAGTGGGGGATTGTTGGAAATAATGAAGATTTATTTCCATTAAAGTTGTTCCAAAATGACAAAGTGGGTGATATAGTTAATTGACAATAAATGCTTAGTCCCACATTGGAAGTTGAGTAAAATTAAATAACATTTATAAGGTCATTGGAACAATGTACTTTCCAAAGGAGCCAAAGAGGATAAAGTGCCACATAGTCATATGTGGTGGTCCCAAGTCTTATGTCACTTGTCTCGTACAAAACACCTAGTGGCGGCTTGTAGACGGCACTTGAGCACTTAGGCACGACGCATCGGAGCAATCGGGCTATTCGCGGTGCTTGAAATACTTTTAAGGAAAGTGATTTCGTTCACGATTCAGTCTGGATCCATTCGACATTGAAGCATTATCTAACATATATATATATATATATATATATATATATATATATATATATATATATATATATATATATATATATATATATATATATATATATATATATATATATATATATATATATATATATATATATATATATATATATATATATATATATATATATATATATATATATATATATATATATATATATATATATATATATATATATATATATATATATATATATATATAAGGTTTGACTCTTAGGGCGTATCCCAAAGGGTGCACCCTTTTGTGAAAGGGTGAGGACGCACCACTATGAATCATCACAAGTGCGCGTCAGCCGCTGCTGTCCGACTGATCGGTCTGACTTGGGTTTGGGTAATACGTTATCTTTTTAGTATTCAAAATGATGAAAATAATTTAATATTATTTAATATTAATTAATTAATTAATTACTGGTGTGCCCTTTAAATTAATAATTATTAATTAATTATTTGTGTGTTGTCCCATAAGAGTCACTCTAGTTTTTTGACCAATTTTCCACGATATTGACTTGCCTTCCACGTTTTCTTGCTGACTAAGTTCTATATCAACTAGTTTTAGGTCGGATCCGCTTCATTCTCCCCTATATTTTTTCCCATTCGAGTTAGAACTTTGCCTATAAATAAATACATTTTCATCTCATTTTCTTCACTCTAAATTTTCGCATTTTAAATTCTTTCTCCTATCTTGTATCCGCTCCCTCTAATTTTTTTTGTTTTTTATTTTCGAATAGTTTCTTTGCACCATCTATGACTAATGTAAAAACTAAATACTCATAGTAATATTTATACCATATTCGATTGTTCATAGAGTAACAATTGTACAACATAAAATTGAGTTGTTTTATCTTTGAGACTTTGTGGCTGTAATTACTTTACAAAATTTTGAACACTGTCACAAAACATCTTAAAAAAACGGTTTACACCACAGCTCGACACATAATTTTTTTATGGCAATTTTTCAAAATCATAAAATTTAGGGTCAGACCAATCAATCCGGAGCCCAGTTTTAATTTTTAAAAAATAGACCTAAAGATATTAATTTATATTGAATTTTAAAAAAAATTGATAAAAATAATAATAAATTATGATTTTACACCTCGTGTGAAATAGATTTTGAAAACAAATTATATTTTACACTTGATATTGAAAAAGTAGGTGTAAAATATATATTTTTAAGAAATTAAAAAAAACGGACCCTCCAAAATTTGGGGTCAGCGTAGCACATACTGCATCTACACTAGACTGACCCTGATAAAATTATATTAACCACTTCCATCACCATGTGACTGCGCCTTCTCCACTAACTACTCCCATCGCCATCAGAGTGTGCCTTCTTCAAGAATTTGAATCTCCTGCAACATTTTCTCTGCTGTTTCCATTCAGCCATCAGTGTTACCTATTTTTTTCCTCTCACTTTTCAAAACAACATCCTTTTATCTAAATATTTTTTATCAATTTTCAACCACTAAATAAATCATGAGAGACATGGCATCTGTTTTCCTTCTCCAAAGCCTGTATGAGCTAGTATGTCAACGCATGTAGTTCTTGATTAAATATCAACAACAAAACATATACAATTAATTAGATGAATCAAAAAATGAAAATCATAGAAATGCCAAGAAACTTCCAGAAACTCATATTTGAGAATTACACAATAAAGATAGATACGAATAAAACTGCAATTAATATTTTTAACATACACATTAACTTCAATTAAACAGTGAAAACCAGTAACTATGTTAAATTAAAAAGTTACATTGTGTGTGTCCATCTGAAATTGAAAAACTAAGAAACACATACACTCACACTCAGTAACTGAAATCAAAAACTAAAAAAAGTTTTACCTTCTAAAGCAAATTTTGCATGTTCGCAATCATGCTTTTTTTAACTTATCTTTTTATTCTCAGTACTTTATTCAAAACAAAATTAGTATTTGCAGCAGTGTTGACCGTGCAGTTAGCAGCACTATCACACTTTCTTAATTTTGTGCCACTCCAAAATCAATTCACATGTTAGTAAAGATTTCATGTTTCTCATTAAAATTTATCTTCCCACTTTACCCTCATTTAAACTATAATATAAAAAAAACAACTACCATAACTTTCTCTCTATCTCTCTCTAGTCTCAAATGGAGAGTTACAAATGCAAACTTTGCACAAGATCATTCACCAGTGGCAGAGCACTGGGTGGCCACATGAAAGCTCATTTCGCCACCCTCCCTCACCACCACCGTACTCCTCCCTCTTCTTCTACCTTACTCTCATTTTCTTCTTCTCATGAAAATTCAGATGAGAAAAGTGTAACCAATCTTTCAGAGTACATTGTTCATGACAGAGAGAGTGAAACCGAGTCAAAGAACCCCGCTCAGAAACGATCCAACAGTAACCGAAACCGAAACTCAGAACAAAAGAAGCTTAAACAGAGGTTAATAGATTCGCATTTTCATTCACATTCACCGGTTAGTTCGATTTCTGAAACCTCTCCGGAAAAAGAACTCGCTAAAACTCTCATGATGCTATCAAGAGATAAATGGAAGATGAATGTTTTTGTCAAAGAAGACTCACAATCCCAATCACACGAAGTTGAAGAGATCGAGTTCAGAAAGAATAGTAGGAAGCATAAATGTGACGAATGTGGACAGAACTTTCGAAGTTCAACTGCATTGAAAAGTCACAGAAACATTTGTCTTCAAAATGAAGTTGCAACAACCCGTAATGATCATAAAATATTCAAATGTTTGGTTTGTTCTAAGGTTTTTGGCTCCGGTCAAGCATTAGGTGGTCACAAGAAATCTCACCTTCATCCATCTTCGAAGAAAAAACTCTGTTTCATCGATCTCAACTTGCCACCATTGCTACAAGAAAATGATGCTCGCGATCAATGTGTTTTTTATGAGTAAAAAATATAAGTTTCAAATATTTACATTCACAGCGAGTATCAACTAGTTGCGCTTTATGATCTTTATGATCTTTAAAATAGTTAGGTAAGTAAGAGCATTCTATTTTAATTATCTTTTATTGTTTAGATTAATTGTTTTTGGTGGAACAATCATTATCAAGATATAGGTTATGATTTATGTTTTCACCAACTGTTTGAAATATGGTAGATAGTTATTGATTTAATAGTTTCCTTCATTGTACTCAATTTGGTTTCTCTTCTCACGGTAACTAACTAGATGCTTTCAAACTTGCAATGCAAAAAAGTGTCTGTTTTATTTGGGATTTGGTTGTGGACCTAACTGACTGTCCAACAAACAGCTTTTTCACGTTTGTGTATGTACTAAAATATGCTGCAATTCCATTTATGTGATGATTCTGTTACATAGAGTGATATTGATACCCAATAAAAATTTACTTTATATTTTTTTTAATATGGAGATAAAGTGATCGTATAATCGTGAAAGTTTTGGTTCGAATTCTGATAGATTTTGTCGTTAAACTTAACAATATGGATTTTTGTCGGTTAAATTAAAAATTTGCGACAAAAATTATTACATGTTATTAAATAAAATTAATTTAAAATTTAAATGAGTTCATATTTATGATATGATTAAAATATATGCTTTGGTAAATTATTGATAATATAAGTCTCTGGTTGCAAAGTTAAAATAAGTGTCAAGTTGCATTTGAGTGTTTTAGTTGGAGCATAGCAAGAGCTTTGTTGGAGGTTAAAGATGATTGGAAAACTTGTTTGGAAAACTGCAATACCATATGTATTTTGTAGAGACACCAAATATTACAGCACACATGTTGGAACATCGTGTTCCATATCTCTGCACCAGAAAATACTTGAACTTCTCCATGTTGTTTTTTATAATGTTGTCAATCCAAAAGGAACAACAAACGGCTTTTAAGAAAAGGTTGTTAGAGGTTGAAAATCATATGCCTTGTTCGGGTGTGTCTTTGGTGTGTCTGAGGACTCTTAATGCAACATCCCAATGTGGTTTTCTAGGTTCATGCATGAATTGTCTTGATGTTTATACAGAGTAAACAATTTTAAGTCTCATGACAGTAATGTAAATTAGCCTACCAATAAGCCTTCTATATTTGGTTAGATCATTTAGCACTACCCCATTCGTGGGAGTAAGTTTCAAATTTTGTTCCATCTAAAACTTGTCAGGGAGAGTACATTTCAGTCCTAAATCTTACAAGATATCTGGGGCATAATTTATTTGACACATGAAGATACCTTTCATTGAACGAGAGAATTCAATGCCTAAAAAATATTTCAAATCTCCAAGATCTTTGTTACGAAAGTAGTATAAAAGAAACTCTTTACGATGTTTAATTTCTTCAAGATCACTCCCTATAAGAAGTATGTCATCTACATAAATGAGAGTTGTTGTGAATGAAGTACCTTGAGGTTTGGTGAAGAGAGAGTAATCAACCTTTGATTCTTGGTAACTAGCCTTTTGAATGGCTTCTGAGAAAATAGAGAACCAATTTATTGATGCTTTACTTGTTAGGTCTATAAACAAAGTTATCCCTCTGCCGGCAAAGAATAAGTGGTGGCTCCATGTAAACTAACTTATATAAATCACCATGAAGAAAGGAATTTTGTACATCTAACTGGTGTATGAACCAATTGCGAGCAACTATAAATCTAACAAGGCAACAAAGAATAGTAACTTTGGCAGTCAGAGAAAATGTTTCTTGATAGTTAATTCATTCAACCTGAGTGCATCCCTTAGAAACAAGGTGCACCTTATAGTGCTTTATCGTACCATCAGATTTATACTTTATTTTGTAGACTCATTTGTAACCAATAGGCTTATGACTAGGAGGAAAAGGTACGAGGCTACATGTGTTGTTTTATTGTAATGCTTTTAGTACTGTATTCACTGCTTATTGCCATTGTGGATCATGGACAACTTAATAATAGGATTAAGGCTCTTTATGGATTGTAATGTTAGCTAGAAAAGCATAATGTGTGGAATAAATGTGTGAATATGAAAGAGGATACTGAGTACCTGACCCAGACGTGGCACCGAGGGAAATACACTAACTTGTATAGACATGTAGTAGCATTTATGCCATATCGGGATGGTTTTATCAAAGAGGGATTGCCTAACTTGTGGAATGAGGGAAGTTAGTGGGTTTGGAGTATGTGACTTAGTTGTTATTTATTCACTTGTAAATGGTGATGGGGGGAGGATTTGGGTCAATAGGTGGTGGTGTATATGGTATTTAGGGTTATTGTGTAAAAGGTATATGAGATGGCGTAGAAGTAAGTCAATCATCCAACGCTTCATGAGGATGATGGTATGAATTTGAGTTGGGTTTAAATGTTATGGAAGGAAAATTAGTTTCACAAAATGTGACATCATGACTCATAAATAAAGTCTTTATCTCAGGATCATAAATTTTGTAACCTTTTTGTCCGTTATGATATCCAACAAATATACCACTTTTTGCACGGGGATCAAATTTATGATAGGGTGAACAACAATGGCATAAGATAAGCAACCAAATACCCTTAAGTAATCAAGTGATGGTGTCTTGTTTTATAGTAATTAAAAAGGTTTTTTTTTTATAGTAACAGAGATGGAAACCGGGTTATAAGGTATACGACAATCAATATGCATTAGCCCCAAAATTTAAGTGGCGGTGTGAATAAAATGATAATACTTGTGCCACAATTAGAATTGGTGATGTTTGTGTTCCACAACTCCATTTTGTTGTCGAGTGTAAACACAAGTTCGTTGATGTTTTATGCCTTAAGATTGAAAGAAGTCTCTAATGGACATGAATTAAGAGCCATTTTCAACTCTAATTGCTGTAACAGTTGCTTGAAATTGAATATAAGCAAAATTAATAAAGGATTTTAAAATATTTTTAGAATCTGATTTGTATTACGTAAGAAATAGCCACGTGCATCTTGTAAAATCATCAACAATAGTTAAAAAAAATATAGTGCCCCTAAATGTGTGGGAATTTTATGAAGACCCCAAATATCATAATGTAATAAATCAAATGGAGCATAAGTTGAAATAGAGGTTAAAGGAAAAAAGAAGTCTGGTCTGTTTAGCCATTGAAAAAACATTACAATCAAAAGACATGTTATTTAGAGACAATGAAGGGGAAACTAATTTGAGATGAGATATAGATGGGTGTCCATGTTGCATGTGTCGTGTGTTTGAGGGCTGAGAAACTTGATGAGAGACAAGATTTATTTGCAATAAAAACATGTAATTAAGACCACCACATTGTTCGCCCATGCCAATCATCTTCCCTGTAGCCAAGTCATGTAATGCACAAAATTCAGGAAATAAAATAATGCAACAATTTAAGGATATGGTGAGTTTGCTTGCATACATCAATTTTAACTGAAATGAAGGAACACATAAAACATCATGTTGTATTGGAATTAAATGACATGTCCCCAATAAATGTGATTAGAGAAGAAGAACCAATGGGTAAATTGACAAAAAGAATTGATGAAAACTTTGTTTTATAGAGAATGGTATGACCATATGTAATATGATTAGTGTAACACCCATTTTAATTATTTAGTCATTTTATTATTATTTTAAAGATTATATGTTGGTGTGCCCTTTGGTGGGGGTGTATTTGGTGATGTTTGGTGGGTGTCCCTAATGTGGGAGGATTATTGGTGGTGTTTTGGTGAATATAATAATATAGTGTATAATATTAATATTGGTGGGAATATTATTATTATTATTATATTTATTATAGTTACTATTGTTATTAATATTATTATTATTTTGGTGAGATAATAATAGTATTATTATTACTATTATTATTATTATTTTTATTATTATTATTATTTTGGTGGGATAATAATATTATTATTATTGTTATTATTATTTTATTAAGTTATTATTATTATTATTAAATTATTATTATTATTGGGATTAGAGAATTAAAATAGAGAAGGTGAGGGGTTAGTAGTTTTCACGATACATTGTGAGAAGTTAGAGAAAGTGGAAAAAGAACGATAGAAAGGAGAGAAGTGAGAAGAACGGAAAAGGGAGCGAAGAACGAAGGAACAAGGGAAAATCAGAATTGGCCAAACCTTGGAGGGTTGTTTCATCGATCAACCGATTAACAAGGTAAGGGGGGAGAAACTTGATTGGGAATGGTTTATACATGTATAGGGTAGTTGGGGATTCCTTAACCCCGTAGGAAATTGATCGATATATGATAATATATATTGTTATGTTATGATTGATGATGATTGTTGTTAATTATATAGTAATCGTTAATGAATGGTTGTTTTTGGTTGATTTGGCATATAGGGCATATAGGGTGTTTTACGGTTTTTAGGGAAAATTCTGTAGGGATTTTGATGTATCGATAAAGTGTGTAGGTGATGATTTTGGGAATAGGAATTAGAAACCTATTGGTTACGGTAATGTGCAAGATTGGTACTAGAATAGACTGAGGACCTGAGTTGAGATGATAAGTACATTTTGGCTTAGAAAGCACTCTGCAGAACTGTGAGAAATTGGTGAGATCGCAACATTCGCTGGGCTTCGCCTGGCGAGTGGAGGCGAGTGTTCGCCTGGCGAGTTGAGGCGAGTGGCAGCGAATAATTTAGAATTAAGTCCCAGACCTAAAGGGTAGGAACTTCGCCTGGCGAGTGTGGCCAGCGAAGGTTCGCCTGGCGAATGAAGGTTCGCCTGGCGAATGCACGATAGTGAAATAAGGGCTTCGCTAGCAGGTTCGCCTGGCGAATGATAGCGAAGGTTCGCTACGGGGCTTCGCCTGGCGAATGCCAGCGAACGTAGCAGAACCAGAATGTGATTTTTGTGATGTTTTGGCCTTGAGCTTGGGCTTGTGTGATCCCTTTGGCCTTGATGCACTGTAAGAGTGATGAGTGTGGGAACTAACTTGTGTACTTGGTGATAGTGCATGTTTCCTGTAATAATGACTGGTG